GTCAGAAGTGCAGCTCTACCCTGCCCCTGCCAAGACTTGATCACAGCTGCTTGCAGTCTCTGTACCACACAGTGCAAGTCCCAGACAGTGGTGAACTCCACTAAGCCAAAGGGCCAGGTCTCCAGCCATAGGAGAGCTGTCCAGGATTGAAGTGGGTAACATCACTTCTGTCACATAATTTGTGCCATGGAGCCCTGTTACATATGCACCACCTTTCAAAGTAGACATTAAGATAAACTAAGACAGATTAGATATCTATGGTTTTAGAAATTATTACCAACAGTAAAACATTGCAAATGTTAACAAACCAAACTCATTCTCATCTTTCAGGCAGTAGAAATTCACAGCTCCCTCAACTTTCCCATAATATCTCCTGAATTAACCTGCTCTACTCTTGAACAGAAAAGATCACAAGGAAACGTTAAAAACCATTCAAAGCCCTCAAAGAATTGACAAAATCAACAAGCAGACTTGTTTTGCATGAGCAGTAAAACCCGAATTGAATCAATGTAGTGAAAAAAATACACTGAAGCTCATTTGAAACTGAAACAAGAGACATTTTTTACCCAAAGGGTGATGGTAGTGTGGACATGTTGCCGAGTCATGCTAAAGCTGATACCCTGATTTCTTTCAAGAAACAGCTGGGTAAGATCCTGAATCAATCAGCTACTAACTACCAAACAGGCTGGATGGGACAACTGGCCTCTCGTTTGTAATCGTTCTTATGTTTTCAAAGATCCCAGAAAATTAACAGGTGCAACTCAAATCGATACATTCAGGGCTGACTTGTCATGCTGTGTTTAACTATTTGTGTATGGATAAGAAGTAAATAGAGCTTTTGTTTTATTGTTAACTACTATTACTCTGAAAATTAACTGAAAACTGCAGCTCTCTTTAAATTCACTCCCTTCAACCAAGCAATCAATTACATCAGCACGTACAGAATTGTGTTTATCAGCTGCTCGACTCACCTTTTGTGCAAGATGTTTTACCTACCTCTCCCCAGGGCTGCCTTAATAATTCCTAAATTGCATTAATTAGCTAATTAATTAAGAGCTGGTCCCTAATTCCATTAACAGGTTTATGTTAACGGGCTGTGCTTCAAGTCACCTGCTACAGCTCAGGCACTCAGTACGAAGGGAAGTGCTGTGTATTGCAATCTCCTTACTTCTGCCTACAGTACAGAGGCACTTGAGAGGAGTGGCTGAGTCACAGTCATGTTTATCTGAAGTGTGGAGAGCATACTTGCTTCATTTATCTAATGCAAATGAGAGTTTGCCTGTGTTCAGTGGAATAACATTAGTTCAAATCAGACAGTTACGTCTCGGGAAAACAAAGGCAGGTAGCACTTCCACACTTGACATACAGTACAATAATAAACATTTATAAAATTATGTGGTGTTTTCAGTCTAAAGACTAGACTGTAGCCTATGGAATATATAAGTAATCTGAACAGGGAGAGCTGTAGATGGGGAGTTTCCCTGCTTGAACATTCCAAATCTGCATCAGAGAATTGTGCCACAGATCCTTCAAGCCACAGTAGCAGGAGAAATGTGTACAAACAATGCTAAACCTGAAGTGAAATCGTCTAGTAGATTTTAAGAAATACACTTAGTGTCGGCCTTGGTGTCTTCTCACCAGCATGATTGTCTAGATTGTCTGCTTTCATCCCTGAAGACTCTGAGAGCAGAAAGGATCAATTGGATGAGCTGGCCTGTCATTCAACAGGAGCACAGATTAAGAAACAGCAAGGAAGACACTCAGACTGCGTTAGCAGGGAGAGTCATAAGTGAACAGCTCCAATATTTTTGTGTTTCAGTCGACTGACTTCCCTAAAACATATGGACAGGAACAGCAAGCTGGGAAACAAGACACAGGGGAAATTTCACAAAGCTCCGAAGAGCCGTGAGCACTACTCTGGTTTATTTATTTGGAAAGAGATTGATGTGCCTGTGCTAATTACAAGCCGAGACATGAAGAGCTCAGGAATTTAAACCCGAGAGCTGGAGACTCTGGGGTACATTGATTTCGGACGGTTACCCGTCAAGACCGTGATCCCCCTGCCCCCCGAGGAGCCTGGAGAGAATCCCCCCAAGCTGAGGCGTGACGGGGTGCGCAATGTGACGGCGCCCTCGGAGAGGCAGGGGGCCGCAGCCTGCCACGTGGGCATCGCTCCTGGGTACGAGATCACTGCGGGTTTTAAATAGCTCCCTCTGAACTGAATACTCCACCTGTGAAGTGAAATGGAAAACCTTTGAACACCAGTGAGACCTAAGAGAGGTAACACTAGTCTGGAAAAAAGGCGCAAGGTCATGTAATAGGTCCCTAATGCACTGCTTTGTGTGCCCCGCAGAGGGTCTGTTTAATTTATTTAAGAGCTGCCGTTTGGAAGGGAGACACGCAGAGCTGGAGAGCAGGCGATGGAGATGATGACGAGCTGGAGGGCTGAAGGTCTCTGACGCAGGAAACAGACCTTCAGCCCTTTAAAGGACAACAAGCCAAGCTATCGGCTCCTCAGGGGGGATCGATCGAGTGGGGTGCACTTGACATTGGGCTTGATAAAAGCATAATTGTGTGCTCAGCTTTGGAGCACAAATCAGATCACATGCAGTCTGAAGATCTCAAGTCTCAGCTCATCTTTTATCGCTCCCACTGCAAGACAGGCAAAAACTTGCACATTTGCCTCATCTCTGTGTATTTCCCTAAAGCAGCAGAGCTATGTAAATGAGGATTGTGGCCTATTAAACTATTATACTTAAAAGGAATTCTGAAGGCTGCATATGAAATATGGTTTTATTTATTGCACCAAAACATTTCAAGTTATTTCACACAAGAAGCAAAGTTTTACCTTTTAAAAGTCTGGTAAATTGTGCTGAAAAAGTTGCATCATTTTCATTGTGAAATATGAAAAAGGACTGTAGAAACAACATATATATTGAATATGTTTATGAGGACATAATATAGCTATTTTAAGGTGAAGCAAATTATATTAAATTTACTTGGCTAAACTCATAATATCCTAGTACTGTTAGAATCAGCAAATCAGCTTATAAAATGGGAAAATGGATTTTAAAATTAAAATTTAAACACAGTAGAAATGATGGACGAGTTTAATCTCTTTATGGATACTGTACCTAATAAAAAGCAACACTTTCCTCCATCTGGAATGTGCAGAGATTATAGACAGACCAAGCTACCAAAATCTGATCTCTCACCAGATCCCTCCCACCCCCCGCAAATATTCTGCTTAATTAGGCAGGTCTGAGAGTGCACAGATCTCCTCTCACACACAAACCCACATCAGTTCGTCAGGCTCAGCCTGTCAACAAAGTCCACCGCAGTCAGAAGATCATAGGAATGGTTGCAGGCAAGACAAGGCTCATCTAGCTTGTTTGGTAGTTAGTAGCTAATTCAACTGAGGATCACATCCAGGGTATCACTTCAGGAACACAACCATTTCTGTAAAGAAGTGATTCCCAGTGTCAGTTTTAAATGCCCTTGCCCTGAAGAGAGTGAGCATGTGTTGCAATAAACTAAATGTTATTAAAGAAGGGCAAACAAAATACTGAAATAAACTGTAGCCCTAAATAACTACTTGCTTACTGTTGCACACAGGCCCAGTGAATGAGGCACAGATTTTGATTTCATTTTGATTTAGACGTAGGATGCTTTCCTAAACAGATTGCTTTCACAGGACCTCATACAAGCAGACAATTAACCAGAGTGGGAAAACTAAGAAATAAATCATCCGGGCTGTCCCTGATCTACAGCACGAGCCAGAGCACGTGGGCCTGCAGGCGAGCTGGGCACTGTCACAGGGAGGGCTGTAGAAACCCACCTGCCGTGGTGACCCCTGCGGCAAAGATAGCTGGGCTTGTGAAGTGGTTGTGGCAGGTATGACAGGTACAGAGTGCACCTGTGTAGATGATCTGTTCCAGTGTGTGATGTAGTGCCATCCAAGGGAAACGCACTGAAGCCAATCTTCTGGACGACTGGCTCCAGAGAGGCTCTGTGCATGAGCCTGCCCCGCCCTGCCCCGCCCTGCCCCACTCTGCCCCGCCCTGCCCCGCCCTGCCACGCCCTGCCCCGCTCTGCAGTGTAATCTGCAAGAAAATTTGACGACATCTGCTGATCGCTATGAAAGGACAATCGAGGTTCTCCTGAAAGCAGATCAAATAATAAAAACTTGACTCAGTGGGGAGGAGCACATAGTGATGACGCCAGTTCAGAGATGGGGGTTATTAGGAGGCCATGATGGGTAAAGGCCAGAGGGAAATTTGGCCAGGACGTTGGAGTTACAGCCCTACTCTTTTCGGGAAACACCCTGGGATTATTAACGAACACAGAGAGTCAGGACCTCAGTTTTACATCTCATCTGAAGGATGGCACCTTTTTACAGTATAGTGTCCCCATCATTATATAGGGGCAGTAGGACCCACACAGACCACAGGGTGAGCGCCCCCTACTGGCCCCACCTCTTCCAGCAGCAACCTTAGCTTTCCCAGGAGTCTCCAATCCAGGTACTGGCCAGGCTCACACCTGCTGAGCTCCAGGGGCTGCCAGCTGTGAGCTGCAGGGTGATAGGCATGAAATGTATACACAGCAGTTATAATACAAGCCTGAGCTTATACACAGCCTTGCATGTGGTGGTGGAAGCACTAAGGAGTTCTTTCAGCTGAGCCCGTAACCAGTCCTAGAAGTCTTTGGAATCTTGCAAACCATGTGAGCCAGCAACTGCGATCACCAGCACCAGACCGGGGGAGGGTTTGAACACTGGGTTTCCCTGCTACACTGCGGGTGAGATAATGAGTCACAGCTGGAGTGATCCACTCACTCCTCTTGATCATCCTCGCCTGCGTTTAAAGGGAAGGACTGGTTCCACATGCAAACAACTAACTGATAAAGAATGGGGAAAAAATGATACTCCAATCATACTTGATACCATGAGTAACCATTTCAACTTGGTTAAGTGGACCAAAATGAAGAATATACTAGGTTAGAACATTTTAAAAGACCTGAAATGTCTTGGCATTTTATTTGTATTATTATCTTAAGATGCAAAACACAGGAGGATTTAATGTTCAGCTTTGCACAAACAGAAGGTTTCTAGCCAGCATACACCAGGAATGCGAGTTGTGGCTTGACTGTAGCTCTCGTTTTCGTAATAAAGATCACAATCAGCTGGTGTGTGACATGGAACAGTGAGGAACAGCTGCTGGAGGGCAGAAACTGCAATGTGCACACAGTACAATGGGTTTAGAAACACATAATGAAATGTTGCAACATAATCTGAGGTCTCATTAGCAGCCAGTAATGGCCTGCATTTTTCTGGTTTGATCACTGGGGTATGGCCATTCCAAGGAATAAATGTAGCAGTAATTAAATAATGGCACTTAGCAATAATTTGACAGATGATGAGGAAAGTAAAGGCAAATTGCAGATCCTTTCTACAGACTACAAACTGATTAGCTCGCTGCTCTTCGTGTGGTCAGTAGTGTAGAAGGGCATGCGGTGGAGAGGTGCTTAGTGGGCTCTTCTCAGATTGTTTAAACACAACACACAACCTGAACAAGTCACAGCTCCCGGTCCCTCCCTGCCATGATCACACGAGCCAGCTCTGGAGTAGAGTCACTTAATCACCGCAGTAGAGCCATATGCACGCTTTTGTCTGGCAAGGGAAGCCCTTGATTTTAATGAGGTGTCAAGGCCCTGATTTTATGAGCTGCCCACAGAGCTGGGGAAACAATCTTTGCAGAAAATAGGCATTTAATTTAAAAAGATGAACAGCCCCCCTGCTCCCATAAAGGAGCCCAGTGGTACTAAAGTAGCCCTTAGCATGACATTTAAAAAATGTACCCAGGTTTATAAAAATATTTCTGGTCATTTCTTGCTGAAGAACAGTGCACTGCTACTTGTGAGATCTCTACGTCACCTGCCTACAGCCTAGTAACCCTGCAATCAACAGCAGCAATATTTATTTCTAAACAGTACCTCTGGCCCCAGTCTCACTCCCTGGATGTGCACCTGGACTATTCCTGTGTGTCCACTCTCTGCGCACTGCACACTGGAGGAGCAGCTGGCATGCCAAGGTATGCAAACTGCAACAGAATAAAGGAGGACCATTTGAATTTGCTAAGACCACACAGTACAAAACCTGCTCGGAGCACGCAGCCAGAGGAGGGTGAGACGAGTGTGACTGTAGCCCTTTCTGTGCCAAAAGAAGAGAACTGTGGAAGCTCACAATGGAGGAGGGAAGGGAGAGACGGTTTTGATCAATTCCATTACGGCACCCCAGCCTGACCTGTGACCTTGCACAGGTCCAGGTCTCTGTGTCCAGCTCCTGTGCACACTGTCCTTGAGTCAAACAGAGGTGACGTGCCTCACTTTCTTGGCACCAGCTGGATAGACCGAGCCTGTATAGTTGGTTTGCGAAAAATTTGAATTGAAATTCCCTTGAATTACATCAGGTATCTGAAAAAGAAAAAAGTGAGAAATACAATGAAAATGTTTCCTCTGAGCACTTACTGTACAACAGTAGAGTCCTGTTAAAAACCTGGCACGCACACATGAAAAGAAAAGTGAAGATTGTAGTGAACCAGAGGTAGTTGTGGGAAAACAGAGTAAACAAAACACGGAGACACGGGAACGTGTGAGAATTGTGGTGAAGTACACAAGTGCACACCAGACAGAATTTGTCACAAGGAATTTATGTGTTATCATACACACAATACAGATCAGTTTTTCACCATAGCAGTTCTTTCACTGGTAAGTTTGTGGGGCATTTTTGGGTGCAGTGACAAGCAATAAAACTTGAACTGAGAAGTGGGATCTCCCACGTGTCTCAATCAGCAAAAGTAGGCCCCTCAGGGTTGGCTGGGGGTCTCTCCTATCAGGGAAACCGCTATCCTGCCACCTGCTGGGCACAGTGAGGCTGGCAGTACGGCCAGTGAGAGACCCGCTGCGGCTCCAGTCTGCACAGACTCTCCTGTCAGGCCCTTTCCAGGAGATTCCAGTGTGGCCCGGACAGGTCTGCATCTTGCACGTACTCATTCTCCTTGGGAATGGTACAGGAGACACTGCAGTGAAGAGGAGTCTTTGAAAAAAACTGGTGACTCCCAATTGGATGGTTACATCAACAAAAATATTAGTAGTGTCCAGATGTCTAAGTGAAACAATCTCAAGGGATAGCTAGACAGATTAAACACTGCCTGCTGCATGCCTGTTGACCTGCCCGGGCACAGCAGTGTCCAGTCTGCTGTCCTCGTCAGTGAGCCCATCACTGGTGTCACAGAGAGCTCTCTGAATAATTGAAGCACCAAGAACCCCGGGCTTCTGTTACCTCCAATCCCTCCATGGAGTTTTTCTGGTTCCTGTTACTGTTGCTTAGAGCGTAAATATTATAGTAATGACCTGTGAAATAAAAATTTACATTTTAGATAAGACTTCAAAATCTCTTCAGTGCTCACACTTAAACCGATGACGAACGTACGTTGTATGGGATAATGATGATGATGACGAATGTATGTTTTATCTGATGATGATGATGATGATGGATGCATGCGTATTTTATCTGATGATGATGAATGTGCATTTTATCAAAAAGTCTGCTTCTCTTTCCCCTTTCGTATTTCTTATTGCACCAAATTATTTCTTCTTGACAGCTCGCTGCTGTAGTCCACACTTGGACAAATTGCCATGCTAGCTAAAATCAGCCAAAACAAAACAGCTTCCTGCAAAAACTTATTCTCAAAGCTGGAGGAAAATAATCTGAGTTGGAAAAATGGAGGCAGCACAATCCTCTGAAGCCAGCTGGTGACCCCATCTGTGTAGAGGTAACATTCATTGCACATAGTCTCACTGGGCTCTCACATCCCTCCAGCACAGACCCCAGTCTCACCTGCTGGAGTGTCCTTGGAGAATCCCAGGTTGTTCTTTCCCTGGATTGGCAGTGTCTGTGGGGCTTGTCCATTCTGTGCTCTCTGCTGTGAGTCTTTTCTGTGAAAACAGGGGCAGCCTGGGTCAGACCAGCTGGATAGCAAGAACTAGAACTTTAGCAATGCCAAAGGTTCAGGGTCAAGACAGTGAAGAGAGCCAAGGTGAGGTACAGTGATGTTGTGATTATTGAGATATTGTTCTTTACTAACGCCAAGTATCACATCACATTTGAACCTACACAGTGTGGGTGATGTTCTGCCCCTCAGAATGCTTCCAGTTCTTCTGTTTTGAACCTTTATTCACTATATTGTTGTGAAGTTATGGACCCTAAAACTTCCTGTTCAAAATATTATTTGCATCATGCACAATGAAGCCCTAAAGAAGTACATATATAAAAATATCAAAACATCGTTCAAATGAATCTGCATTGTTTCAAGGATGCTAGCAGACATGGCACCCTCGATGAAACTGCGATCGTTTTTTCGAAGTGCTTGGTTCCAGATAGAAGGGCTTGTTCGCTATGCTTGAGTGCTTCCTCCAGCCCAGCAGCTTGTCGCCGGGGTCCCAGCCCATGGCATGGCAGAGAGCCGGTACATGGAGGAGGGTGAGTTCTACACTGGGCTCAGATTTTCCTAGGGGAAAACACACACAAGTAGCCACACAGAAGGCCAAAACACAACCAATGCAAGTCTCGAGGCCCCTTCATTTGTTTCTCGGTACATATGAGAGCAATCCTTAATCATAAGGGACTAGGCAAAGTCCTCAGTGTCTCTTTTTCAGACTGTTAGGACTGAAGACAACAAGGACAGCGCAAGGTACTGGAGGTGATTGGAGTGACAATTCACATTTCAAGCAGGATAAGCAGACACATAAGGACAAAGCTACATTGGAGCGGTTTCAGATTAACAATCCTGTGCATTGTAAGAATCTGTGGGACGTTTTGGGGAACACTGCCCATAAACAATTCCCAAGACATGAGAAAACTCAGGCAAATCTGCCAAGAAGATTGGACAAACATTGCACCAAGACAGTGTGCAAAGTTGGGAGAGTTGGTAAAACTGGTGGCTGTAATTATAAACCCTAACCCTAACCCAAAGGTGCCTAAATATTGAGTTCATGGGTCTGAATACTTAAGCAATCAACATCTTTAATCTTTATCTTTAGTATTTGCTTACATTTACTGTAACTTATCTTACCCTTCAAAGTCTTTAGTTTGAACATTCAAGATTTGAATAAAATATTATCTTATTAAAAACACTTTCATGCATCATTTTGTAATTTCACAGAATGGGACATTATAGAAAGGGTATTCCCTGACTGTAGGGAGTGAATATTTGTTATCATTTACAACTTGCATCAGGCCCTGATTGATTTATTGTAATTTTAATACCTAACATACTCATAGGGTTTTGGATGTGGCTAGTGTGGAGACCTGACAGTGAAAAGAAGTAGAGTCTTTCAGTGCTTCTGAAGCTGCAGACCATGTCAGTCAGCCAGGAAATTCACTTGCCTTGTTTCCTCCTCATAGCTCTCATAGCTGGGTTCTGAAAGAGAATGAAATATGGCTTTAATATAGAGGATAATTGCATGATTTGTCTCGGGATTCATAAAGTTTCTTTTTCCGAGCGTGTGTGTGTGTGAGCATGAATTAATACGATATAAAAGGTTTAATAACCTCAAGAGAAACAGCCTGATCTGGATGAAAACGACACCACATTTCTCACAGGCTTGCCCCTGGCCCTTTGGCTATATCTATTGTCTCCGTATCAAAATCTATTTCAGCAGATGTTGCTTTAGATATGCACAACTGCAGTCCGCAGGCGGTCCTCAGTCCCAGTAGAAGAGATGGCTCTAACCATGAATGAATCGCACCGCAGGGGCACGCTTCTCCTCCCCCCGGGTTCACGAGGAGGTAAGAGTGCTCACAGAACGGCACGGCAGGAGGGGACTGAAGGGCCGGGTCGTGTTGAGAGGAGCACAAAAGAAAGATCCTTGGAGGAGCAGAACACGATTCGAGATGTCTCCCTGGGCTACCAGCCTACAACGTCCAATTGTGTGGTTGTGCCGTGTTCTAAAAATAACGCAAGTGCAGTGTTCTGTCAGTAGGTTACAGACAGGCTTGACGTGAGTCATCTACTGCATTTCCGAAGCAAGCTGTGCTGTTGAGGGAGCATGTCAAGCTGGAACTGCACTGTGTGAAATTCAAGTGAAAATGGTTTGGGGTGCTATATCTAGGAATTCTGATTATCTAAGAAGTGTGATGTGATATTTGCCATAAACTAATTGAGCTAAACAAGACAGTCCAAAAAATGTATGCATAAACCGTAGAACAGTTTTGGGCTACATTTTGTTGAAGTCATTTTGAACTTGTGTTTAGGTGTGTATACCTGTCTAAAATTGGAACTCGGCACAAAGGCATGTCCTTGATTTTCTCTAGTCCTCAATCTGTCACAGATATTAAACCAGTTTAATACATGACTCACAAGCACGTCTGTTATCACAGACATACAGGAAGCTTCACTGCTGAGGACACCTATCCATTTGGGATGGCTTTTTAAGACTCAAGGAAACATCTTAACAAACCTGCTACCTGGCCAAAAAAACTGCAGGTTCTTTGGCTCACGGGAGGCTTAGATCTCAGCAGTAGTAAGTAGACACAACTTTCCAGCCTTGCTTGAGATTCCTGTTTTTTATATATGTTTTTGTGTATTTTTTATACTGATGTAGGTTTAAAGGATCCTAATAAAACACCTCACCCAGATCCATTACACTATAACTTTAGTTGCATGGTAGATAGGTCCTGGCAACAGCTATCAATAACGTGTGCTGTAGATCTGCCAATACTGTCGCACACGTCCTAAGTCCTTTTCTTCAGAGCTGTAGCATTTGAAATGAATTTTACTTAGCAATGCTGAAACTGTTTTGTTTTCATCAATGCAATTATATCAATTATATATATTGCAATAATGCAAAAAATGTTGTTTTCTTTAGAGCAATTATGTAAATCTTCTCAATACAGGTCTTTTCTTGACCACACCATTCCTGTGGAACTCAGAGTGTAAGTATTAAAAACATTTTTTTTCAAAACATATGTCAGATGCTAACAAGCAAAGGGCTCAGTTGAGTTGAGTGGAAAGGGAACACTAGTAAGAATTGCCTAAAGTGGAATTTAAAATCCTAGTTTAGTACTTCTGCAAGTTAAGATTGTGGAGATCCTCAAATCTGCTAAGGCCTTCACAGCTCACAGTGTGGGCCTGAGCTGCAGCTCTGCTCTGAGCTGAGCTGTGACGAGTGCTCGAGTGTCATGTGATGAGGATCTCTGCCACTGCAGTTGTTTCCTTCAGGAGCTCGACTTAAAATCAGGCTCACAGAGGCAACACAAGGTACTGGTTCTGAGAAGGACCAGTACCTCCGGATCACACCTCAGCTTCTTGCCTGCGTAAAAACCTGATTCCCAGTCCAGGCGCCTGCTCTCTTCCAGCTTTCATGCAAACTCTGCACATTCTTATTTGATTTTAATGAATCTTTAATTGAACTTTTTTATAAAAAAATCACTTCAGGTCTTAAAAAGTCACAGAAAACGATGTGATCCCTGTGCCAGGGGCCAGTTTTCAGAGTTTCAGGTGAAATTATTAGATCACAACATCACTAAAAATGCAGACTATGGGAGCGTTTGACAAGCATTCCTCCCACCTCTTTCCATACATCATGACATAATAATCAATTAGGTACTATTTAGGAAAGCATGAAGGAACAATAATCTTAAACCTTGTTGAAACAAAGATCTGGTCATTCCATCCTGGAAATAATACCTTCAAAAGAGACTATCAGTGAAACTAAGCCTTGATTAACTGGCTAAATTATGAGTTCAATAATGAAACAAATTACAAGCTCAGCTGGAACAAAACCCAGAAGACACAATTTTACTGCAGGACCAGGACATTATACAGCTGTCCCACAAAAGAGCCACAAAACTGCAGCTGTTCGGGCTCTTCTGCGCCACTCAGCTTCTGGGAAGCACTTTCAAATGGTGTTACATCCCCAGTGAAATCCAAACATTAATATTTTTTACACTTCCCATAAAGGAAAAAAATGAGTCATTGAGTAATTCCTCAAGAGATACACAGAAGCAATTCTGTAATAAACCCACATCTTTAGGGTGGTAAGCCTGCCCTCCTGGGTTGATTATTTGGGATGTAGCGCCACCTGGTGGTGGGGAGCCGACACTAACTTTTCTTCTCCAAGAGCGCTGGGTGCTGACGGGCCTGTTTTAATTTTCGCCGCACGGACCACAGCGAGAGTGTATTAAGATTTGATTTACAATATGATTTAAAATGCCAAGAGCTGCTGATTGAGGGCTGCAGAGCATTAAAGGGACTCAGCAATGTTGAACTTCCGTTCAGTTACCATTACTTTTTTAAAATAACATCCTTAACCAATTTGGTTAATTGAATTAACTGGCAATCCATGAGACACTGACATAGTGAGTTCTACAGTTTTCCACAGAAGACGGGTATTGAATACATTTCTAACAAAATATCTCTTTACTTTTTGAAGTTGTTGGTGTAAGTATTGCAAATGAGTTTAAATTGTCCCCTGCATAAAAAACATTTGAAATATCCAACAGGACCATGAATTACTATCATTATCGGTTTTCTGGATTGAGGGGAAGATTCCCTGGCCAGGGAAAACACTGTACAAAGAAACCAAGAAACTACTCACTGGGTCTTCTTTTCCTTTTGCAACAGAACACAATCAGAATGATGAGCAGCACCAGCAGAATGGCAGCCGAGACGGACACGGTGACTGCTATCAGCACAGTCCTGTCGATCCTGGGCTGGCCGGGGGCTGGAACGAGAACTGGGGGAGGGCGAGAGTCAGACTTTGGCTGGGGTCAGTGTGTCACACTCACTCACGACAGAACTCCACAGGACGCCCTAGCATTGCTGTGACGTCACCCCATCCACTCATCTCTGGTATTTGGCTTGGCCTGTTTTGGTTTGGTTTCATTTTCATATGACCCCTGTGTTTGCGACTGTGCTTCGTTACGGGCTTTGCCTGTCCAGACTTATCGTGGATTGTTTCCCTCGTCACCGATTTCCCCGCTTCTGGGCTCAAACCTGCTACATAGACTGTTGCTCTGCTTCAGATAAGAGCACCACATTACCCAGTCTTGTGAAGAGGGACAGGAGCCACAGCTAGAGACTGGTTTAGCTTTAGCGTTGGGTCGGGGGGAGCACAGACACTTGGTCATGGTGAGGGTTGAGAGCAGGATTGGCTGTAGGGGTGCATTTAAGGGTAAATCTGGATTTAAGTTCAGGTTGAGAGTTAATGTTCGTGTTAACTCCCCATCCCGCCCTTTGGTAATGACAACACTGCATTATAGACGTCTGAGCACTCCTCACTACAAGCTTGTCTACACGGTGATGTTTACTGTAAGTGCACCCAGCTGGAGCTCGTCCGGTAGAAGGGGAATGAAGGGACGCACCAGAGCTCCGCCCAGCCACTGCTCACCTTCCGTCACAACCAGGGAGGCGTTGGCACGGAGAGGGGCGGCCAGGGCGGGGATGGAGGCCTGGCACTCCACTGTGAGGTTGTGGGTGGGGGTGACGAGCAGGGTGCTGGTCGAGACGTACAGCCCGGTGTCATCGATGCTGCTCTCAGTGCTGTAGCTGCCTGGGTCAGCGGGCGAGCCGTCCAGCATCCAGGCCATGCCAGGAGAGGGGTACCAGCCCCTGGCCCGACACAGGACGGTGGCGGACTGGTTCCACTGCACCTCCAGGCTGTTGTTCAAGATCTCCAGCCCACCCGGCACTGGAGACAAACACAAGCAACACCGAACAGCTTCATGCACACTCACTGCTTTGTGGCCTTTTCTGTTGTGGCGGTCTATGTTTTGTTCCTCTGTATCTGTGCAGTGGCTCTGTGGCTCAGGATCTGTGCCTGTAGCTGGAAGGTTGCTGGTTCAAATCCCACAGCCGGCAGAGGAATCTTACTCTGCTGGGTCCCTGAGCAAGACCCTTAACCCCACCTGTTCCAGGGGTGCTGTGCAAATGGCTGACCCTGTGCTCTGACCCCAAGTTTCTCTCTCCCTGTCTGTGTGTCTCATGGAGAGCAAGTTGGTGTATGCAAAAAGACAAATTCCTCATACAAGAAATTGTATATGGCCAGTAAAGTGATCTCATCTCTTACCTGCACTACCAGCTACCAGGCCTTCAGTACTGTGTGCAAACTTGTTATTGTAACAGTCACCAGCTGGGAAGGTATGCACTCTTTGCTCATGACTAACACACTCTCATCAGATCACAAGCAGACGCTCTCCTTGCTACCAGTGTTCAATGTAACTGTTCCCAAAATAAGGCACATGACTAATGAGTGATCTTTCTCAGTCATGTTCTCGCTGTGCTACTAATCCTTTAAAAGGCAGTTTGATCACTTGCAGCTCAGGGTTCCTTGGAGGTTTTTCTTGGATGACAAATGAGACCTGGGAAATGCAGAGCAGCTATAAGAGAGGTCAATCGGAATAACATAGAAAGAAAATTGAGCGGTGTGTGTAATGCTACAGTTTATAAAATGACTTAACATGGCAAGCAAATGTGAATTCAAACATCAGAATAACTCCAAACAACAACAAATGCTTATAGGACTGAAGCACTTCTGGTGACCTTTACTGGAAATTAATGCACCTTGTAGTCTTTGCTTACCACTCATTTTTCTAAACTTGGCATGCTGTTAGCCCATCACAGATGCAGTCTCATTTTAATCAAATTCAACTTGCATGTTTCAGAGACTATTAAAAATGCAGACATGCAGCACTATAGACAGAGGATGAAAAATAAATCCTGACAAAGCAATTTGGACAGCAGGGAGATTGTCTCTCAGAAGAATCCACATTAATGACTGCGCTGCTGTCAAAACTCTGGCGTATCTATTAATTCCTCTATTCCACACAGCTTTTCTGATACAGTGGGGATTATTTATAAATCTACTAATAATACTAATAAATTATTAGTAAATGACAAGGATGACAGTCTAAGTGAGGCAGCATCCATCTTGGTAGAACAGGCTGGTTTATTTTTTAAATAACATATTGAGGAGTAAATAAAGGTATGATTCCCTCTATGTATTCACCAACTGCTAAATGAATTGATTAGCAGTGAAAGACTTTAAAGCTTGCTGTTTTTCAAAATGACCCAGCTCTCGCAACTTCCATTGCCTCATGAAATTTGCGGGTTTAAATACAACATTTAATCTCTAAGAAGGATGACCTCTGTCTTCATTAATTCTGCTTTCCTCTCTTTCTCTCACACTTGAGGAGTGTTAAAAGCCCGTTTGCTGCTAATTTCTGCATTACATCATGGGCTCGATTGCTTTACAGCTGGGTTCCCTTGTGTTGGCAGCTCCCACTATGAAATGTAGTAACTTACATACAGATTCATACAGGATAATGAGAATGAAGTTAAAAAGCAGGCTTACTTCTTCGAAAGATTTGTGGATCCTATCCACCAATAAATTGAAATGAATGTTCCACAAATCACCAGCTCACTTGCTGACTGTTCACTTGCAATGCCAGGATGCACATTTAATTAAAAAATCAGTCTGTATGGAAAGTTCTTCTGGTCCTTCGATTAAGTATTTTATCTACCATATAATATTGTTAATGGCTATTCAAGACAGCAGGAATGTGCGGCACCGTCAATACCGAGCCCCACCAGGTAATATATTAAAGGCAAAGGGTCATTGCTTTGTTTTCTCAACATCTCTTCTTCTCCCCAGAGTGTCCTTCTTGCTTTTAGCTTAGATCTCACCTCTGAGCACATTAGTTTATAATACAGGAAATCTGAGTTTGCATCTCAGTGATCCAAGTAAAGCTCTCGAAAATGATCTCCCAGACAGTCATTCCTCCCAGACTTTCACTAGAAACTCACCCCATGAATAAGTCCTGCATCTTTACCTGAATGTACACAGCACAGCAAACCATTGCATTCATTCTGCACAACAGGCCCTCAGCTCTCCTGTTATCCCTTGGCGTGTGACTGAGGGCACAGAGGCTGCAGGACCTGGCCACATCTGCTGAGCGAGGGCTGAAGGAAGCTTCACGTTACCAGTCCATACCAAAAAGGCATCAGTGCCCATCTACTTGGCAGCTCACCTTCAGATTCCTAGCTTGAGAGAAGCCTGGGCTATTAATGACTCTCCAGAGATGGACTAATTGGAATACGAAAAAGTAATGCATTATTTTTGAATTCTTATCACTCAACTAAATTCATAATTTATCAGTATGATTACGAGCTTGATATTATTTCCATAACCATTACTGTAGGTCGGGTTTGTTGCCCATACTTATGATGAATAATCACACTACTTAACAATTTCATCTTCATCTGCATGTCTGGGAATAGAATTTGGCACATTGATAAACATTCCTGCTCTATTAGTTTACTGTGCAGGTAGGGGCGTTTTGTTCTTTTGGGTGCGAAAGCTCGCTCCAGACATGACAGATTTATTTGCTTGAAAAAATGTACGTTATTGCTAAACAGTATTTTTTTTGGTATGGCGTGGTAGACAGTTTGTAAAACCAGCGTTAATAGTGCAATAAATCAGTGCATACATGGAATTCATATCTAATAAAGATCAGTGAAAGGCACACAGCCCACACTCTGTAGCTCTACCCCGTGATGAGGTATTTCTCCCACTGAGGGGGGTTGACTGTGCAGACAACTGCAGTGAAGTACAGTAAATCTTGGGAAGAGTTACAGTGCTCCCCTGGCAGTCCTGGCTGAGAGACAGTATTTCTTATAGCACCATCAATCTCCACCTGACCCCCATAGCTCAGGTTATGCTAATGAAGGGACCTGAGGCCTCAGAACCGTGGCAGACAAAATTGCGGCGGTCCTGGTCAGCACACGCAACATAGCCGCCACCACGGAGCCCCCAGGGTCATACTCTTCTGTTCCAGAGCTCTGTGTCTCTCACCACATGCAGTCTTTTTCCCTCACCTGTCTTTTGCAACGTGACAATTAGATCCACAATCTTATTCAAAACCTACATGCCATTTTTCCTAAAGTACTGAGGTACTGAGTATAAAATAAATCGATTGCATTTCCTTGCTATCGCATTGGCAATGAGATCCAAACAACCCACCTTCGACAGACAGAGTGGCGTCCTTGTTCCCCGCGTTCAGCAGCCCGCAGGTGAGGGGGCCGCTGTCTTGGCGCGAGACGTTGTGGATGATGAGCTCGGAGGTGAAGGTGTCCAGAGTGGTGTAGTTCTGCATGTCGTAACGGTCAGAGACTCCCACGGCCCCCACCTGAGGCATGATCATCAGCACAGGCACATCCTTGAGCTCCCAGATCAAGGCCACCCAGTCCTTCGACACAGTGCAGTTGAACTTGGCGGTGCTGCTGAGCAGCGCTGTGGCGTTCTGAGGACCTTGAAGGAACTCGGCAGCACCTGTGCACACAAGGAAGTGACCATCACTGGTCTTTGCATGACAAATGTCTGCGGGGCTTCTTAACTCTGTTGCATTATCGTCCCTGCTACTTCAGTGCTGCTGAACACACACTTGAGAGCCCCGGCTGAGAGTACGATGCAGGTTCTGACCTCGTCAAGCCCAGAGGCGCCAAGGTGTTGAAGCAGTCACATTTCTAGCCCAGTACGTCCCTAGATTCTGCCTTGGGCTGATATGGGCTTTTTAAAAATATCTCCTGATCGAGAGTGCAGGATGGGTGTGTCTGAGGCCCCGAGACGGCAGGGCGCTCTGCCTTGTGGTGTTTCTGCTTGCTGTAGGGGCGGACAGGGCACTGTCTTGACTCTGTCCCACAGGAAGCACGCTGCTGTGTATTGGGCAGGATCCACTGAAGAAAAAACCATAAGTGGCTGGTAGGTCACCCAGGGATATGGAGAGAAATATTAGTAAATGTCAATCAGTCTCGACTTATTAATTCATGGCAATTGTACAGCAGACATTAAACATAACAATCCTCAGAATCAGATCAGAAATGAGAGCAATAAAAAACTAATAGTGGGAATAGACGCAGCGGTACGCCATCAGCAGCATCATTAGTTTGTCCCCAGACATGACCAGAATGTGTTTATAAGGCAAAACGTCCAGCTTGGAGTTGCAGGTGCTGTCTGCTGAGCTCAGAGGCTGAAGATCTCTAAGGCACAGGCTCTGCCTTCGACGGGAACCTTTCTGGTCGCTAAACAGCAGCTGCAGCCGCTAGGCGTGGCGCCGGAGGGAGTCCCGCCCTGAGGGCGAGGTCTCGGCCAGCGTCTAGAGACTGTGTTTACTTCCAGAGCTGACAGGTTCTGATTAAGAGGAAATCGACCAAAGCGAAGGAGCATTAATAATGGAAGGGAGATAAACAAGTGCAGAGTGTGGCCATCAACCCTACTCCCCAAGTGTCAAACTTTTCCCACATATTAATTTAAATGGCTCTTCTTTAATTAAGTTTTGTAATTGCTATTGTATGGGACAGAATACAAATGGTTTTCCTGTGGCATTTGCACAGCGTTTAAATCAATCCCCAGGGCTCAGACTCTTGTGCAGCCACAATCCTGCATTCATCTAACAAAGCCACACGGAAGTTTTCTTATCGATGCGCAGTTCTGCTTCTACACTTCTCTTATTAAGTGGCAGCAGAAAGAAGCCAGTCCAGCCCAGTCCTGATGTCATTGAGCTCTCAGAGCACCAGAGGTATGTAGAGGCTGGGGGAGGATCGACTACGTGTAGGAGACACACCCACTTAACCAGTCGCCAGTCAACATAAAACCTGTGCACTTCTATAAAACTCGAATACACCGGAGTTACTTCAGATTCTGGCCCAACATTGGTATTTCATTCTGATATTCACAGCAATGTGGTCACAGAATCTATAGCGGTCTTTCCTTTATAGGCAAAAATGATGAAATTGTGCTTCTGAGCAAACAAGCTGAGAATCTCAGAAATGTAAGCCGTTACAGCACAGTTCTAACAACCCCATTGCTCACCTTCGGCTGCAAGAGTGACAGTGCGCTGTGCATTATGGGCTTTTCAGGACAGCCTTGACATCTCAGTAGACATGTTGCTCGTCCCCTCTTAAATGCTCTCTGTTTGTATGTTTTCCTGATATGATTCCACCTTTCAGTTATTTGGATTGACTTGGTTTCATGTCCAAGGTTTGGTTTGGTCTGAGCAGCCTTGTGTGTTTTTTTGTTAAAAAATAGGCAAAATCAACAAATGCAAAAGGCCAGAAGAATGTGTCTTTAAATCATCCAAAATGAATAACAATATTTAATGACAAGGGGACACTGGAAATAACTGTCTGAGTGAAGGAGGAAAGAGTTAATCCCTGTGAAGGAGACGGGTATGCTGGAGGAGTCATCCCTGCAGGTTTAAAGCTCACCTACGGCTGAGGGCAGTAAAACAGCCAGGAAGACAAGGCTGCGCATGGTGTCCCAGCACTGCTCATGCCAGAGTCCGGAGCTGAAAGGAGAAACAGGCAAGAAGTGGGGGAGAGATCAGCTCCAGACCTCACAGAACCTGTCACTCTCTGCTATTGTCCTGCAGTGCTGGGAATGTAAGCACGCTGCTTCAAGATCAGGATGCCTGCAAATATCCAATATCCAATATGCTCTGCCTGAAATATTATCATAACTAAATTGACATTCCAGTTTTGCTCTTTTTAACACACTTGGATTGATGAGGATTATAAATAATTCACACTTTTAGAGTCCATGGAAATCCGTGACATGAACATTAAATTTGTGATGATTCTTAATGAATAACACTCCTGCTGCAGTGCGAAAACTATTAAATGTTAACAATGGTAATATTTTATTGTATCCCTGTGAAATCTTGCTTAACCAAATAAGGATCTCCACAGCACTTTTTATCTGTGCGCTGCAAATGGATTTCTGCACTCTGAAAGCAAATGCAGACTGCAGGTTCTAACATATGGATTGAGATAAGATGCATTATTAACACCCATTTCAGTGAATCTGCAGAGTCCACAGAGACGCTGGCAGGTCTGTTAATTGTGAAATTAATGCAGATACGTGCTCAGAAATGCCAGGAGGTCCTAATCTACTTTCCCCCATTATGAAAAATAATTTTTACCTTTCAGTTGCGAGATGCACAAAGACAACTTCCTTTAAATTGACCTCTGAGAAAAAAGCAAAGAAAAAGCTCACATACTGAGCACATCTGAGTCTCAGGTCATGATTATATTCCACTGACGCACTGTGCAAATAGGTTACAGAAAGTGCGTTGATTATTGCCGCAGTCCTCCATTTTAAATTGTCCAGCTTTACTTGTAAAAAAAATATTGACTGAGCTGGAAACATGAAAGAGGAACGGCCTTCTCTAAACAGATGGCTTGTATCAGAGAAAAGATCAGGTGACAGAAGGTGACAACTGCAAAACCAAAGCTAGCCTTTATTAGTATCAAGGTAGAAAGATGTGCTTTGCTTTTTATTCGCTTTAATCTTTGTACCTCTTCAAAATGTATGTCTATTAGTTGATCATGTTTGATCATTATCAAACAGCAAAGCTATACCAAACGAACTGCTGCAAACTGAGAAACGCTCTTCTCCAGCACTGCCAGCAATCGAGTCAAAAGGAAACACCAGCTCCAAGCCAGGGTGTGTGCTCTCAGAAAAAACAGCTTTCTCTTCTTTATCTGAGACGTAAAAAAAACAAGTAGACGCATTTTCAACAGGATGGTGCTCTCTGGTTAGCAAACCTACCTTTTATGTAGGAGCTTTATGACAGCTCACAGGAAAGATCTGCTGGTGAAAAACGCTGCCGACGCAGATGCAAATCAAGGATGTCTAAGTAGAAAAACAAAAAGCTTCAGCGTGCCATGTAGGAGAGCGGGCTAATGCCTTCAGGTTCACTGCTGTACTAAAGAGGTCAAAGTCCATCTTCCTGCTGTAATGATTAACTACAAATATGCAACATGAATGGACACACAGAAAGCAGCTCCCCTTTCTTGTGAGGAAGCCAGCAGGGAAACCCTGTCCTTTACCTAGTTTTGCATGTGCTAACCAGCTGAAAGTCGATGGCCACCAACTAGACTGTAAAAGCTGTACCATGATGTCATTCAAGGTAACCTGTCTGCTGGAGAGATTACTATTTCATGTGCATTCTGCCCATCTGTCTCTGCACATCCCCACCCAAATCTCATTCAAAGCACTGAATTGAGGGCAGGGCGCTTCGCATGTGGTTCTAACAGATGCATGTCGTCAATATTGCACAGGCACTACTAAGATAGCAATATGTCATAGGTGTGTTTCTTAAGGGACCAGTAAAAAGGTATCAGCATTTGTGCAATCAGTTTTTCAGTGAGATCCAACTTACTCCAGCTGCATTGCATTTGCAGGTTTTTCATTATTTTGATGCATCCTCTTGTATTGTAGTTGAGGCTCAGACAACCATTAATATATTCAGGTTGCTGCATGATCTGAATTGATTTAATACTCAGAACCCATTGGGATGTTGGTATGAATTCATGACTACATCTGGATCCAAACACCCAAAGGTTTAACAGGCTGGTTTCTTTATGGATATACTGTATCACAGCATGATTTCTTTCCCACAACACTTCATCTCTGTCTGACAAACATACCCTGTCCTTGAAAACCACCATCTCAGTCACAAACTTTATTGACATTTTTTACATACAAGGAGAACTGAAAATGAAGTTACCACGTTAGTACATCCAACATAAGTATGCATAATTTAAACTGACAATGCTATTTAGGGAGCAGAGATAAGGACGGAGACACATCACTAGGAGAGATAAGTGAAAGTCTAATTGCACAAAGCTGGGAAGCACAAAAACTCAACACGTGTCTTATAATTGAACCAAACATTTGACATAAAAGTCCTGAGAGATTTTGTGCTTCTTCAGCTTAGCCTGTGCAATTGCCCATCACAGAGGTGCAGCTGTCAAATGAGCATGATGACCTAACCTTAACACTGATTAGTACATAGTGCCTGTGACAGCCCACGAAGGACATTAAGTCATTTTGTGATGCAGTGCCAGTGATAATAGTTAACTACATTTGAGAGCAACGTGTGTGCGCACAAACATCGAAGAGCAATAACAGTTGTTTCTTCAGGGTGAACTGAAGAGCTGTACAGAACACAGCACAACTGATAGCACAGCCCCCATAGTGCACTGCAATCTGTGGCTACACTCTAAGCCTCCTGTCAGAGCTGCACACGTGCCTAATTAAGTCATCTTGAAGTCTGCCTCCCTACACAGTGAACAGAGACAAATCCATCATTGTGCTGAAAAGTGTTTTGGAGAAACGGCTTGAAGTCTTCCACGGCAGGGGTGTGGGGTTTCCGGATGCCTGCTGCTGAGCCACAGTGCTGATCCGCAGGTGGTCGGGCCAACCGGAAAAGACAGAAGGAACAAGACAACTTACTGCGCCTGCGCCGAGACCCGAGGAGCACCGCTGACCAGACAGAACTACCGCGACAACTCTCTGTCCCTGCTGCCACACAGTCTGGCACACAGTGCCTGCAGCAGGAGCGCACACCTGCCCCATCAGCTTCCGCAGTTCCTGCTCAGACAAAAGCCTGACCTCACACTGAGGTACACTGCCCTTCCCACCACACCTCCGCCGAGCAAAGAGCGACGTCAGAAACACTACACACACTCACACTCACACGCATGTTCACACGCACACATGCACACACTTCTCAAGAAGTGCTGCTCCCTCATGATTCCATGCACCACAGCGTGGAAAGACTTTCCCAGGGCTTGAAGTTGCACCTATTGCACCCAAGTTCTATTTATTTCAGAATGGGCACTTCTTTGTGTTTTTGCACCTCACACCTGCGACTCTCTTTTCCATCACTCTAGGAAAAACGCCTGTCGTTCTTTCAAATATTTCAGTTAATTTTTCTTTACTTTATCCAAACAATAAGAAAGTTTATATGTCTATGCATGGAGGTGCACTAATTCAGAAGTGTTGTTCTCTGTTAATTTGTTTTACAAATCCCAGAAACTAGACAAACCGTCTTCTTCCCTATCTTCTATCGCCACCCAGTGGCTCAAATCTGCAAGCACGTGGCCCAGACGGGCTGGCCGCCATTACCTGAGGGGCAGCAGACAGAGGCCCCAGCCCCGACAGCATTAAGAGTCTTCCTCTGCTTCATCCTGTGCAGGAGAGGAAAGGCGAAAATGAGGGCTGGATGTCAATCACTGTCTTCAAGATACGCGACTAAAAATACTTGAAAACAGGACAAATTAGTTCACAGGCTTAAAGAGAAAATCTCCGAGATTTAGGATACTGACTTTTATCAGCCAAAAAGAAAGTAATGAGTTTTCTGCAGGCTGCTATGTAGGCACCTTGTTCTGCTTTTAACCCAATCTATTAACACAGTCTTTAGCTCCAACACACAGACTATTGTTTCCCTTGAGTTTGTGAAAAAAAAGGTTCTCACAATGAAGACTAGGTAAAAAAGAATAGATATATGATCATATTTCATAACTCTCCATGAAACCCGAGAGATTTATTTAAACAATTCTCAGTCTGTTTGAGAAAGGTGGAGCGCAAAGCGAGAAGCAGACTGAAAATCACACCAAGAACAGGAAAACCCTGTGACATCGTTTTCTGACAAGGAGCCCATGTGTGAGTCTGCGGCAGTTCTAAACCAAAAGTCTGAAACTCACTACATGAAAAAATTATAAAAGCATTTTGGTGAATTCTGGCAAACTAGTTGTTGTTTTTAAAAATATAGAAAAGGGTATTGAAGCAATAAGACTTGTAAGTCACTTGGCCCTAAACCTTTCCAAGTACAGACACAATGTGGGGTCTCAGACTATAGGGTACAATGGCGGTGATACAGGTGTGAGGCGCCCAGGAAGCTGTGATACAGGTGTGAGGCGCCCAGGAAGCTGTGATACAGATGTGTGGCGCTCAGGAAGCTGTGATACAGATGTGAGGCGCCCAGGAAGCTGTGATACAGGTGTGTCACTCAGGAAGCTGTGATACAGGTGTGTCACTCAGGAAGCTGTGATACAGATGTGTGATCCCCATGAAGCTGTGATTCACACACAGCATCAGGGCACGGCAAGTGCAATTCTACAGACAGACTTTGCAGCTTGTGACAAATCAGAGTGGCTGATAGTTGTTTTATTCTACCTCTGCTTCTATAGCATCATCTTCTTCCTCCTGAAAGAGAGACAGAAAGGAGATGTGGGACACGAAGGGTGCTTGCGAGTGCAGAGGAGGGAGAAGTGAGGGTGTTAAGATGCAGTGGGATCTCACAAGAAGGGAAGGGTCACAAGAGGAGGAGAAACCACCCAGTCAGGACTTTAAATCTTCACATCTTGGTTCTCGTACTGTACATCGATACAGGACTGTCACACAATAATAAGTGAGATTTTTACCAGCAGAGATATGATTATTCACCTCACCAACAGGCACCATCCTCAAAGTAGTTAGATTAGTGATAGTCATGGAACTGCACTCATTCCCAATTCACAAGCAGACAGGCGTCTGTCTCCTGGCACATGGACTAAGAGTGAGAGGGGGAGTGGCTGACCAAGTGTCATTAAGAACACTGCACAGCTGGAATCCTATACACAAGGTTCATGTTGTTAGATCAACCACAGCAGATCCTCTTTGACACTTCCAACGCAGTTGTTCCTGCCCGATTCTTCCAACCACGACCAAACCGTGCACTGAGGCGTGAGCGCGAGAGAAGACTACCTCTGTCAGAGGCGCCTCCTCTTCGTCCTACAGGAGTGGGGGCCCAATCAGAAAGAAGTGGCGCCGCAGCGGAGAGCAGAGAGAGACAGTGAACACGCAGGAAGGGACAAGAGAGAGAGAGCTAAGAGACGAAAGCTGAACGCTTTCTTTATTCTGCAGGTCAGCAGTGACAAGAGAAAAACCCACAACACTCTCGAGACAGACGCAGCATTTGGAGGCTTCATGCATTGGCCAGGAACAACACCCAGAGGGCGATTAGAGGTGACGAAAGAGGCGATTACAGTGGCATTTTCAGGGAGAGAGGAGCAAAAGAGTTCTGAAGACACAGGCAGGCAGACATTAAAACCCATATGAACTACCTCCGTAACAGGCTGCTCCTCTTCTTCCTGCGACAGGGAGGCACAAGAAAGAAAGAGCTGATTTTAGCATAGAAGCTACGTACAGACAGACAGAGAGGGCAGAGGGCAACACGAGGAGACCCAGGGCAAGCAGGGATCACTGGGAATGAAAACAGACAGGGAAAACAGCAGGCCAGGACTTCACATCATGCTTTTCCCAGTTTTTCAGAGCACACTGGATGGCTGCTCAGACACTGGAGACTCATACACCTGGCATCCAGGGTTACAGCTGCGAAGCACTGGGGCGCTGAGTCATGACAAATCTCAGGTGACACTGAGCTCATAGCAGAGGAATTTGGTTTAGTGAGAAGTCAAGTCTGAAGCTCAGTGATGGTGAACAGATAAACAGACAAGGGTAAGATGTCTAATTAGAAACCAGGGCAAAATGCATGTGAGTTGTTTCTGACAAACCATTAGGAAGAAAGGAAAGTTAAGGCTTAGATTATGAGCTGGAAATAACCTGCTTTGTAGCCTTTCAGAACTAAACAAATCATAATAAGTGCATTGATAGGATGGTAAAAAGGAACATTCAGCAGTGATTAAATGCATGTTTGTTTACAACAGTCAGATTACTACTATGCAAATGCTTTCGTAATGCTTATTTGAGTGTTAAAAGACTGTTACACATTTAAAACTAGTATTTATAACCCTGAAACAAAAGTATTGTTAATATGAAAGGAGCCAGAAGACTGTGGTGACTGTAGGAAGAGAAAGGAACCAGGGTGTCTAATTTTCTAAGGCTCAGCAAAGCAGCACAGCAGGCACACGGACATCACCTCGCTGACTCGCAGCTCGTCTTCCTCCTGGAAAGGAACAGAGCGTCAGGACACTGGGGGCCACAAGCGTCTGTGACAGGAGTGGGGCTGACGATGGCCGAAGGCGAGAGGGACATGGCAAAGGTGTGTGCCACTGAAGGGGAGCAGACGCACTCACTGGCCAAAATACCTGCAACCCCTCATGTGTCAGGCTCCACGAGGGTTCAGAAATATACACAATCCCATGGCTTCCATCAGGTACTGAACTATTTACAGCCCAATCCCACAATGTCCATCAGATTCTGAACTATTTACAGCCCAATCCCACGAATTCCATCAGGTTTGGAACTATTTAAAGACCAATGCCATGACTTCCATCAGGTTGTCTAATATTTACAGCCCAATGCCATGACTTCCATCAGGTTGTCTAATATTTACAGCCCAATCCCATGACTTCCATCAGGTTCTGGACTATCAACAGTCCAAAACCAATCTTCTAGCACGGTGGCCTTCAGAACAAACTGTAATGAGGATGACGGCATCAGGGACTACACAGCACATCGCACCTGTTCCCCCACTTTCCAGTGGGAGTGAGATACAATTTGGTAGTTAGTAGCTTATTGACCCATCCAGCTGCTCCTTAAAAGAGTATCGACTTCAATGTTATTGGCTGGGTAGCTTGTTCCATGCTCTCTTTGTGTAACAAAGTGCCTCCTGTTCTCAGATTTAAATGCACTTCAATGTAGAGTCCACTTGTGTTCTCCAGATCATGTTTCAAGATTTTTTCAGACTCATTGGTGTCCATGTCTTGTTCCTCAAAGCAGACATGGTGTGCCATCAGAAGAGTCTCTTCACTTTACTGGGAGAGTACAATTTTGGCCAGTGAGCATAAAAAGAACAAAAAAGTCCCACTAAAATCATGAATGCGTTGGGAAGGAAAGAAGACAAGGTTACAACTGTTCTATTTACAAAACCAGAGCATTTCACCACTTGTGTCTTCGATACAACACACAGCAGACAGACAACTGAACTCAAAGCGACCCCACACAACAGGAGAGGAAGAATGGGGTGAAAAGAAAGGATACCTCAGATACACACCACTCATCTTCCTCCTGGAATGGTGAAGCAGAGAGATAGAAGCAGGGTGCGATATTTACCAAGAGCTACCAGGCAGAACGGGCACACAGCACTTGGACAATGGTGAGAGACAGGACTGACAAAGCCATGTTTCAAAGCAGAATAAAGAAATAAATGGTGAAAAACAATTATGTTCAATAACATGTTGATTTTGTTATAGAGCTACCTGAACTGATACTTCTCAATAGAGCAGCAGCTTCTGAGAAAAACAGCATTTAAATTAAATACCCTTTTAGAAGTAATTCTACAAATTCCTTACATTTATAATCTCAATGTGTCCTATACATCACAGCATGTGACCCACGTCATCCACTACTGAAATGCTGTCCCACCTGGGAGACGCACAGCAGCTATTCTGCACCAGCAGCTCCATCTTGGAGACACACAGCAGCTATTCTGCACCAGCAGCTCCACTGCACAGTAGATCAGGGGTGTGACACTACTTCAGTGACTGGATTAAGGGGGAATTTTAAAGAGGCCAGATTGTACAAGCCCAGTGTGGAATTCAGCCAGGACACCTGTTATAAACAGTGGCCTGGGACCTAAACCGACTCTGAGGAATTAGAAGTAATGTTTCATCTGAAGGACGACACCTCCTTCTGCAGTGTCCCCAGTGACCACACTATGGCATAGGTTTGAAAGTTTTGACTTTCATAATTAATCCTCCATGTCATAAATGAAAGATAGCCATTCCAAAAGAGAAACTCCTCCTAGCAGTCTCTACATTGGCATCAAGTCCTTCTTGATGCAGCTTAATGTGAGAGAAGACCTCAGTGTCTGTATCAAGTACAGAGGTTCTCCTCACACGACAAAGTCAGTCCCTGTTACAAACATGTCCCCGAAAGACAGACACCACAGTGAAGCTGCAGACAGTGGTACTGCACCTTGACTTCTTCCTCCTCTTCGCCATTTAGCTCGTCTGTCTGAAAGAAAGAGGAAGAGAGCCCCAGTCAAAGCCCAGAGTTACACTCCAGCCTGCCAGCCTGCTGCAGAACAGAACTGACGAGCTCAGCTACAGGAGTCCTCTTCTACCCACACAGCTCTAGAAAGAAAACTTCTAACTCTTAAATTCAGTGTGTCATGGGGATTGTGATAATTATGAATTATCACACGTGTGCATAATAAGATAACTCTAATCCCCTCTGCCTCCTGCCCTGTGTTTCCCTGTTATGCTGTTCTGGTTGGACACGAGCACACTGGCAGAATCAGGGCTCTGAAAATCCTAGACAGCAAAACATACTGGTCGCTGCCTGTTCTCCCTGAATATCTCCAGAACATGATCAGAGTGCTGAATCTTTCAGGGATTTAACATGATAGTTTATGGGAGTAGGCAGTTTTAAATAGCAGTATTTAATTAAAAATGAGATCACACTATACAGTATAAAGAATTCTGTAACTGCAACTCCCAATGCTGCTCATGTCAATATAGCAAATCACTGGCGTCCAACAGGATCACTATGAAACGGGGACTCTCATTGCTAACAAGCAGCTCATCTGTCCAACACTGTCCAGAATTACTTTTCATTTCCAGCCTTTTACAATCCCCTCCAGCTCCCAGACTGAACAAAACACACAACTTTTCATCTGAGGGACAAGCGGTCAAAAAACAACAGCGAAAATGACAGATCTCAGGAAAGACTTACAATGGGAATATCTAGAGCACCGGAACTCACTGATAGGTTTACACTCCGCTTCTATAGAAAAACACAAGCTGCTTAACAAAACGTGAAGTCTGACACTTCAACCAAATCCACGCTTAAACAACGATGGAAATATAACCCAAACTGCATGCGACGAGCGGGGTTAGTAAACGCCATCTTCTGCTGCCGAGTTACAGTCACGGCAGACCGAGCGCAGGACAGAGGTGGAGAGGACAGAGGAGGTGGTGTGGCAGGCTGTGTCATTAATCAGGACAGGGCTGTATGCAGAGGGGGGAAGGAGGTGATGGTGATGAGAACAGTGCAGAGAAGTGAAATTACTGGCGTTTCATGGTGTTCTTCTGGACTTCTCCCATTCTGAAGAATTAGAGCCTGTTCTGCCAGCTGAGCTTCCTGTACCAAACAAATCAGCACATTTTAACTTCACACTTCACGCGATAACAGAATGCATATTTGTTACATCTCTTCTACGCACGCTATCCTGATATTTAGGTGGCCAACAGGTATACGCAAACAATAGAAAAAAAAAGCAGAGCCCAACCTTGGAGCCTGGGGGTGGCGCCAGGCCCAGGAATGCAAAGACTTGATTCTCCTCCTTTGCGTTGAAGAACGTCTCGTAGTCCTGCAAGAGAGGAGCAGGGGGTCTGGAGACCGCTCCCGTGATGCTGCTGATGTCAGTTCTCCCTCTCGGGGCTCAACTGGGCGAACCCCATTCTTCAGATCAAACACTGAATCACCCCCACACAGACTGACACTGACACACACGAGAGACGCCAAGACCCACACACGAGGGTCAAAGAGCGACACAGACGCACGCAAAGAGACACGGACACGCATAGAGCGACAAAGAGCAACAAAGACACACCCGGAGCAACACCGACACGCACACACAGAGGGACATACACACACGAGAGACAAAGAGTGACAAAGTCACACACAGAGAGACACTGACACACACACAGAACCACACACCCAGCAGCGAGACTCTTACTCCGCAGTAGTTCTCGTCGTTGAAGATCTGTGGGGGCAGAGGAATTCCATTGGTGGGCTTCTTATCTCCAGGCACGTTCTCTCTCATCCACATGCGGTTCTCCTCGCTGCCCGCGATGTCCAGCTGGGCGTAGTCGATCTTATTGGCCTCCAGGAAGCCCACCACATCCTGCTGCTTCTTCTTGATCTGGAGGGGAAGGGTGGAGACACACACAAGCACCCACACGACCGGTCAGCCTCAGGACCAGCGTGCAGAAAGAGGAACAATTCCACCACGTTACTGCAGAACACATTCTCGCCCAACTTGTTCTAATACCTGTCATTTAATGCTGCACGAGTTCCTTTAGACTTGACTGCCAGTTATTTGGGCAGCTTTAACACTGCTGTCCACTACAGTGTTTACAGACCAGGTGACTCTGTCAGGTCTGTGATAGTTCAACGAGCGCGGTTTCAAACCAGTGGCCATTTATGTAACTGACCATACATCCCTGCCTAACATTATTTATTTCTTGGGTGACAATTTAGGAGGCTCTTTTAAATACCCTTGAGCAAAAAGAAAACACACGCACAAAAATTGTGCCGGCCCAGCTGTCTGCTATAAAGGACGGTGGTGGCTTTGGCCCGGTTCTCCGAGTTTCCGGAAGGGTCTGGCCGTGTTCTGACAGACTGCTGAGGCAGGTCAGGAATGTAGCGGCAGCTGCGGCCGGGATATATAAAGAAACAGCTACAGTGAGCCGCTTTCTATCTCTGCTGTCTCTGAGCCCCCGGACCGAGCAGTGAAGCGCTCTTTACCAATCACAAGAAAGAAAAAAAATCCAGTTCAGTGACGCGTTGCACACTGGCTGTTCAACTTCCAAGATGCCTTTCAACTCCAAACATCTCAGCCGTCTTTCAAACTTGTGCGCAACGGGACGCTAATCCCGAACTTGCGTCTGTTCTGGAGTCCATGTTCTAGAAAAGATGCACCTGAGTTGGGCCTGTGCAAAAGCATTCCTTAAACCCATGCAAATGACCAAACTCGGGATAAAAAGGGCGACGTATTAATTTCAAAGCGATCTACTAGTTTACGTGATTAAAAATGGCAAAGCGGTCACTTGGCAAGAACGATTCCCAAAAAAAAGTGTCGCTAACTCCAAGGTGCCGAGGCGCAAAAATGATAACAGAAACAACACGGGACAGTCGTGCGCTTACCGCAGTGGACCCAGACGAAGTGGCCAAAAAGACTTTGATCACCATGTTTGCGGGGCTGAAATGTTTCGCGAGTGGCTCACGGGGTCTTAAAGGCGCAGGCGGTGTCTCCCCCGGGCGCTTCCCCGCGGCCGGCTCGGTCCGGGAATGTCGCCTCTGGCGGCCGGATTGGTGGGCGACGTTGGGCAGGGGGCGCGGCGGGCCGAGCGATTGGCGACCGCGGGTGTCTGTCGGACTGCGCCCCTCGGCGGCGGGGGGAGGCGAGGCGAGGGCGTGGAGCAGGTTCTGGGCAAATAAGGGCAGAGGACTGAGAGGGACGGGGGGAGCGGGGCAGTGAGGCAGTAGGGAGCACCGCGCACGGCCGGGAGAAATCAAGACAGATCTCCTGCGTCTCTGCAGGCGCAGACCGCCGCTTGCGGGAGCATCGCTGGGGCATTACTTGGACATTGCTGGGGGCATTATTTTGGGCATTGCCCGGGGCATCGCTGTGGCATAGTTGGGGGCATTTCTGGGGGCTGGCCGCCGTCTCTGTCCTCGACTCCGCCCGCGGCACCCCCAGTGACCTGACCGCAATGATCCCATCAGCAACAGTGACGTCTACATTGTCGTGATGAACCCGGGGAGATCACACAGATCAAAAAAAAGTTTCCATTATCCCTGCGAGAGAATACGAGTTTTCACGCAGAAACAGCTGTTGTCTTCAGATGGGGTTTTTTCTCTTCAGTTGGATTCATATTTTAAGTCGCTAAACCCAAACAACTGACGGAATGACCCTCAGTGCTGTTGTGGGTCGCCTTCACACTTACACTCATTTTTAATATTATTGTTTTTGAGTTCACGCAGGACAAAGGGCAAATGGAAATGGAAACGGGCTCAGTCGCCCCCGCCGCGGCCACCTCCGGATCTTGTCCTCGGCGGCGGTCCGCTTGGCGTGAGCCGTGCGCCCCAGTGGGATGCGGATGGGCCGATGCCGTGCTGGACCAGGGCAGTGCAGGTGCAGTCCTCATCTCTCGCCGTGAAGAGGTCCTCGTTCTGGGCGAGTAGCGCCTGGAGCCGCTGGTCCCGATCGAGGCCCTCAGCAGTGCGCCACACTTCCACGCACCGTTGGCCCCCGCCACCCTGTCTGGCCCCCCTGGGTGACTCGGGGGCAGGATCGGGCACGCTCGCTCCCCCTCAGGGCTGGCAGGGCTCCTTCTGCTGGCACTTTCAGCCACCCCGAACAGGCCCAAGGCCTGCCCCAGCGAGGCGCCGCAGCTCCCTGAGTAAGGCCTGGAGAGCCATCTCCCGCTGCGCCTCCCGGGGGAAAGCTGGGTATTCTCGGCGGGCGAGGAACGTGACATCCGCGGCGACCGGGCCCAGTCGCTCTCCTGGTCGGCGCCACCACAGGGCCAGCCTCTCCCGAATCAGGTCCGGCGCCTCCTCCACACCGAAGCGCAGCTGGAGAGCTGCTGCCAGCGCCGTGTATTCGCCTCGGCCCTCCTCCGGGACATCCAGGAGCACCTGGCAGGCCGCTCCCTCCAGCACCGCCGGCCATCTCCGCCCGGCTCCCGCCAGTCATCATGGAACTGCACTCCCACGGCGCAGCAACCAGGTCGTACCCACACCAGCTGGCCAGCTCTGGCAGGGAGAGCACCTCCTCTCTGGGCAGGAGTAGCAGGAAGCCACCCCAGTTCTACCGGTGGGACCACTACTGGGTAGCCCTTGTAAGGGCCGTGGCCACCTGTTGCACCCACCGTGTGTGCGCTGCCCCCAGGTTCAGTCTCTTTCAGGGTCAGCCAGCGCTTGACAGAGTCCGCTAGCGTCTGCCACGGGTTGTCCATCCTGCCCGCTCCTGACACCAGGGTGGTGCTTTCAGGTTCACCTGGGTATGCGCCCTCACCGTTGGGGACTCGAACCCAGGCCTCTGGCGTCACTCAGGAGGGACCCAGCCACTTGAGCCAAGGGGAAATCTCCCGTCAGCCCGGCGGCTGCGGCCCCTGCTATTCACAGGGAAGGGCGGTGACGACGCGCTGGTAAACCGGCTCGCACAACCTGCAATGTCCGCCGTATGCGTCACATTATCTTATTTAAAATTATTATTTTTATTTTTGTTTACCCTTTACTGATGTTGGTTGCTTGTAATAAATTCTCAAAAAGTGGAGAGAAGCAACTTTTTTCGTGAATAAATACCGAGAACCGCTTTATTGTGAATATTACATTTTTTATGGATGTTCCCAGCTGCCCTTCCGTTGCCATGGTTTCGATAATATGATATTTTTTAAAGGTGGGAACCGAACCGCAGCATGATCGCAAAGAGCCTTGGGACTTGTAGTTCTTGAGAAAGAACTGGTACAGTCTACGGTTAGGGTTTAACAGTTCAGAAGCTTACAAACACTTTTCTTCAGTGAAAACAGGTTGAGCGCTCCGTGCGCTCTGTCTCTTGTACATTACGCGTTTATTTTCCTTATGAGTATTAACACTTTCGTTGTTTAAATCCTGGCATTCTTTCACCTTGTAACTACATTTCCCATAGGCCCTAAGAAGCAGGAGGGTCTTAATCTCCAAGGAAACCGATAAATAAAAAAATACCCACACAAGAAAAGTTCTTAAGCGAAAATAAACTTTACACGACGGCTATGAAAACAAGGAGTCGCGGGTTTCGTTCAGACAAGAATACAGTATGTTTTAATTTACCATTTAATGTATTAATACTACCTACTTTTAAAATAATATAATAAACGTTTATATCCAAATATCTTAAATTTATTCTTGTAGAGAAGTTATGTGATAGTTATGTAACTTGATGCTAAACGCAGTTTCATATGCCATAAGCACAGTAGTAAACGAGCTGTATCAATACTGTACTTCCCTCAAATAATTGCTTGAACCAAGTACTCAAGTGCCCAGTACTGAATGTCGTGCCCGTAAGAATGAAACAACTTCTGAGTGAGCAAATCAAAGTGTAGGTATTATACATTTATTATATTAATAATCTAAGAAACTCCTCTTTAGGACTATATCACTTCAGTGGAACTACATTAAGGGCACATAATTGCACGTTTTCACTCCCTCGGAAGAGCGCGTTCCCACCTGTGAAAAGTACTGCCTCAACATTTTGAAATCTCTAATAGGTTCGTTTTTCAGAGCATTTTTCTAGTTCTTTTAGTATCACGTTTAAATGCATTTTACTTTGTGTGATGCCTTTCTTAGTAAAATTATCTCACGGCACTGTACATTAAAACAATCAAAAGGAAGGAGACGGGCATACACGAACTGGATCAGAACACGAAACACAAGCTCGAACAAGTAGACAGGCTGGGGAAAGTGTCCAGTGTCGTGCAAGATCCGCTGTGGCTTGTGGGACAAAGTTGTGAAAGAACAGCACTTCTGCATCTCCACACAGCCACCCCTCAGTGCACCCCGACTTTCACTGGAGTAGGATTTCAACACACATTGTGCTGGGGCTCAGTGGGGATCGCCCGACTCTCTCTGTCAGTGTTGGTCTTCTGTTTTCAGATGATGCAGTAGAGATCATGTCTCTCAGAAACCCTGGCGGAGAGATGGAGGGGAGCCCCGAAAACGAAGGAGCAAGAGGGGATGGGGCCATGGTGTCTTACCGCCCAGAGTTCAGCTCCCCAGAGGAGTACAGTCCCATCAGGACCAGCGCGAGTGTCTGTACTGGGAGCTCCAGCCCACAGAAAGGGCTCGGGGGAGCCAGCTGTGAGCCGGACTACTCTGATGACTGTGAGCCAGAGGACAGCCAAGAATCTGACAGGGCTAGCTCCACCCTGACCTCCCCTTCGCCGAGGAGACAGCAGGGCGTAGAAAGAGGCCCACGTAGGGCTCACAGTTTGAAAGGTATCGGCTAAAGTGTTAGTTATAAACACAGTCTAATAATTAAATACACATGTTTGCATTCACTTGCCAACAAAGGTCCATTGAATCAGATGGCATTAGTCCAAGAGACCTGCGTCTAACTGGATGAAGAAATAGTTTTGATTTGCACCAGGAAACCAGACATTAAAATCAGTGATAGCTTGAGGATAAGTGTAAACTACTATTGATGGCGATGAAAATGTTAGGATTTTCTGTTAGTTTCTGGATTTTACCCCAATCCTGAACCAACCTTTTACCAGATTCCCTCTAACTAGCACAAACTGCTTCTGTTTCAGACCATATTGTTTTAATTTAACCCGTCTGCTCCACAGGGCTCACAATCTGAGCAGCTGTCCACTGGAGTACAGTACATGACAAGTAAAACACTGTAGAACATCTCAACACAAGTGCACCTTGTGCACTGTTGCTCCTGTTTTGTTCTTTAAAACATCATGCTGTACGCATGGTGATCCCCTCTGTGCATCACTGTGGTGCTGCTATTGCATTATTTTGCTATTTGTGCTGGTGTTGTTGTTAATTAGCTCTTGCACTGTGTAAGCTCCTACCCTGCGTTTTTGATAAGTACTAAACTTTGCAACACTGGATATTCTGGTACATGTGCATAACGCATTACTCTTTTCTTAGTGCGCTCAACTGTTATAACTCGTGTTAAAACATGTAAGCCTGATAAACTGGGCGTAAAATGATTACGATGCTTCCTTTTAAACCACCGGGCGGTTTCAGTGCAGCAGCAAGGCCATGTTTTCTTCCCAGCCCAGAGCAAGCCAGCCCTCAGGAGGGCGCGGCGCTGGATTGCTGTGCCGAGCCACAAAGCTCGCAGCCTCTCCCACGTCCAGGCGTGCGGGCAACCCCCGAGAAGAGGCCCCAGCCAGCGCATCATGTCAGCACGGCTCCATCGCATCAAGGAGTTAAGCAGCCAAGTGTGGGACCTGCAGCAGCAGCTGAACGCCACCCTCCTGGAGAACCGCCTGCTGAAACGGCTGCAGGGCCGCCACACCGCCGCCCTGCGCAGGTTCCAGGACTCCCAGAACTGCCTGCCGCAGATGATCGCCAAGCACAGCGGCGAGGTGCGCGCCCTCAGGGAGCAGCTGCGCAGGTCCCAGGAGCACGGCCTGGCCGTCTCCCGCAAGCTGCGGGCCGCAGAGGCTGAGCTGCTGCGCATCAGGGACGCCCTGCAGCGGCTGGAGCAGCTGGCCCAGGACAGGAGCCTCGAGGAGCGGGACCAGCTGACACACAAGCTGGGCCGCCTGTCCCTGGACATCGAGCTCAAGACCAGGAGGATACAGGTACGCAACCTGGACCACCTGTGTCTGCAGCTCAGCCTGCCCATGCACACACACAGGAGGCACTGCTGTAAAGTCATACCTGCCTTCAGATGTTTTCAGCATTAGAAGTATTGTGCTGAAATGATTTTGTATCTGGAATATTGATGATGTTTTGACTCATACGGTAAATTTCCTTCTGTGTGATAGGAGTGTAATTCTAATAAACACTGCGTTAAAGAAAATAATCTTCGCGACTAAAGGTGAAAGGATCTTATCGTTCCAGGAGCTGGAGAAGAAACTGAAGCTGAACAGTGCTGCGTTCACACGTCACCTTGCAGCAGAAAGCAGGAAGACCCTCGAAGCCCGAGACCTCACCAAGTTCCTGCAGATGGAAATTAATCACCTCTCACAGAAGATCCAAGTGAGCTGCCGGCCTCACATCTCCGAACACTCACACCTACCAACCAGCTAGTTCTCAATCGCAAGCCAACAGCCCTGCAATCACAAAATAATTCTCAACATTTATGCTTTAATGGCTGCAATAATACACGACGGAGATGATGCCTGACTTTAGAATGTCTTTGATGAAAACAAGCAAGGTGACGCTGTTTGGATTAGAAGTAATAATAATAATAATTGCTTACACTTGTATAGCGCTTTTCTGGACACTCCACTCAAAGCGCTTTACAGGTAATGGGGCCTTCAGTCCACCACCACCAGTGTGCAGCCCCACCTGGATGATATGATGGCAGCCAGAGTGCGCCAGTACTCTCACCACACATCAGCTGTTAGTGGGGAGGAGAACAGAGTAATTAAGCCAATTCATAGAAGTGGCCAGAAGTAGCTCCTTCAGAACACCAGAGGGAGTCTGGAGCATTTCTAAGCACATATAAAAACTGACGCAGCCAGTTAGGGGCTCAGTGAGATATAAATAGTTGGACAAACTGCTGACAGAAAAGAAAATATGTCCTCAAATATTTGGTGGAAATCCAGACAGGAGTCAATAAGACATACCCTGACAGACTGGGAAATGAATGTCAAGAAAAAAGACTTCCTGAGGAAAGCATACAAAGTTGTAGTCAGTACTAACTGTACCCTTTACATATCAGCAGTACACATCTGAATTGTACAGATAACCTTGTCTTGAACAGAAAACAATTATATAGTGGTTGCTGTTTTTTTATTCATTGCTGTTTAACTGCTTATTCGTTCATGTATTTCAGGAAAAAGAGCGAGAATTAGAGATTCATAATATCTATGCACACAGAGTTCGTAAAGGCTGTCACAAAAAAGGTAGGGAAGGATCTTACTAAATCTCAAATGTTTGAAAAAAAAAGTACCTCACAGATTCTTTCCATTAGATTGAGCTCTGAAGGTCTTTAATCTGTCATACTGTGATGAGCTTTTCCTGAAAAAAGGTAAGCAATTTAAGAATTCTGTTCTAAAACGTGAATGTTTAAAGGAACTGGGGAAGGTCGAGGTCAGGAGGAGTCGCTGCCCATTTTAACTGTAGAGCATCTGGACACATGTGCACCTTGTCCTCTGCTGATGGAGCTCCTCGCTTTTCCTCTTGTCAGTGACGAAAGAAAGCAGATGGGTTCAGACAGAGCAGCTCTGCCTGCCAGCTGCATCGCCCTGTTTCAGAGCCGAGACAGAGGACGGGTCGGTAGAGCAACAGGAGCTGGACCAGGTAAGACTCAACAAGCACTTCCTGCATCAGGGATGCACTGGAGTTACGCCATTTATATTTGATCTCAGGAAAACTCCCTTTTCACATGATGATGTTCATCAACAGCATTATGCAGAAGAAGTGCTGTTATGTGCTGTGTTATGGAATCATTAAATGTCAACATGCTACTTAGTGTAGAGTCAGACTGTCACTCTGCAGTCACGGTCTGTTCATTTATCCACGAGTACAGAACATCCACACATGTAACTACTGGGCAGGAATGAATAAGTAGGGCTGTCTTTTCAGTGGTCAGTATCTTAGCTTTTGCATAGCTGGAGTTCAGAGCTCAAGAACGGCTTTACTTGCAGGTCTGTTTGGCCATCAGTTACACAGAAACCCACGAGATATCTCTGACTGAAACACTGGAAGAGTCCAAAGGGGACAGGAGCCCAGACCGAGAGGAGACAGGTCACAGTTCAGCGCAAGGTGAGTAGAAACGCACCCCATTTTGGCTTATTAATGCCCCCCTGGAACCCCTGGCCTAGCGCTGGCCCCTTCTTAGTTCACGTCACACCAACGGAGGATGTATTTCAAGCACACCTTGACCCACTTGAAAACTCGCATTCTGTGCTTAGTTGTTCATTCCCAAGGCATTCAATAGTCTTGATAGCACACTTTAATAATAAATGTTACAAAAATATACAAATAACACTGTCAAATAAAGTCGCACATTATAAAATAGATGTGCGTCTTGACCATTTTCCCTAAGGGGTGTAGTTTTTTACTAATTAGCACATTTAATTTTAATTTTAATTCCTGCAGAGGAAGAGGAAAGCAGCGACACTGAGGAAGAAGTAGGAGTGAATACGGAGATGGAGGACGGGGGAGGTTTCCTCAATGGGCTTCCAGAGCCCGCGGAGGCAGGAAAGGCCGAGGAGGCAGCCCAGGCAGAGCCGGCGGATCACGAGGACGGTGATCTCCTGCTAGACCTGGAGGACTTCCTCAGCTCGGCCTGCAAGAGCAGCAGCCACTGCGGGTCTCCTGCCAGGGGCAGGCGACTCTACCGGTTCAAGGAAACCGTGCAGAACCTGCACCATGGAAGGCCGGCTTACGGCACGCCCACGCCCGCCGCAAGGAGGAGTCCTCGAACCCGGGGCCGCAGACAGCCCGAGCTGGACGACCTGGGGCTTGGCGGCTACGAGCCGTCTTTTGCAAAGCCCCCTGCTGGACTCAGCCAGGGAGGAGGCAGACCGGAGGCGGAGGCAGCTTCGGCGAGGAGCAGGAAGAGCTGCCTGATGGACGAGCTGTTTGGGCAGCGCACGCCAGCCGAGGGCACGGGCACGAGGAGGGGCAGGGGCAGAGACACGGGCCCCCATGGGGGAGCGACTGCGACTGCGCCCTGCCGCACACAAGGCGAGACAAAGAGCCCAGGAAGAACAGGAGCTCCGACCTCTTCCTGTAGCCCCCCGTTCTCCTTTGACTGGAACTGAACATACGCGATAACTGCCCCTGAATGGATTCAGATATTTTGATCATTTAAGTCGTAGTTGAAACCGAAAACAGTGTTGTTTTTATTGCACTTTTTTTAAAGAACAGATTTGACATCATCTGTACTTATAACTTGTTCATTAAACAATGCTTTTTTGAGCACCACCCCAAATTCCAAATGTTGTTGACAGCGTTGAAAAACTGGCTCATAAGCAATTGGTTTAGTTTCTCTTGCAGCTGTTCAGTGTCCAGCCATTCTGGTTACATTAGAAAGCACATAGCCAACCGTATTGAAAAACAGACCCATAAAAAAATATATCAATAATTGGTTTTGAATGGTGAAATCATATATACACTAAAACAATTAAAAGAGAAGAAAATGGGTATATGTGGAAATAACAAATCGCATGCTGTGTATGGGAGGAGTACAACTCTGTACTGGTACACTGTAGTTACACTGGGACAAACTGTCATTCAAGTGATCAGAATGCCAAACCCACATATTGCTTAAGGACAGTACAGGCAGCGATGTCTTTGAAGTGCAGTGCATTCTACATGATTGTAGAAATGAAGGACTTAGCTAGTGAAGTCTACATGCAACAGACTGAAGCAAATACAGTACATTTTTCAAGGGAGATACTGTTTATAATGGAATAAGTCAAGGTCAAAAGTAAAGTCAAGTACCAGATGTATTCTTTATATGACATTTGAGATTTTCCATGCAAAACTGACACACTGGATTCCCCTTTTATATCCTCCTAATCGGAACACATCTATGCTTTCAACCTGAGTGTGATTACAGCCCACAATCATAGTGCCTGTCAAGAAGGCACTCAACCTCCTCAGAATGTACCGATAAATAATAATCCTTACACCTCTATAGTGCTTTCTATAAATGTCTCCACTCAAAGTACTTTACAGGTTAATAGGGATCCCTTCCACCACCACCAGTACCCTCACACACCGTCTCTCAGTGGGGAGGAGAGCAGGGTGATGATGCCAGTTCAGAGATGGGGATTATTGGGAGGCCATGACTAGTAAAGGCCAATGGGAAATTTGGCCAGGACGCTAGGATAACACCCCTACTCTTTTCTGGGATTTTTAACGACCACAGAGAGTCTGAACCTTGGTTTTACAGTAAAACAAGGATGCACCAGTTACAATTCTCTCTCTAGACCCCTTGTCTTCAGCAGCACAGGGTTTAGGGTGGCGATCCCCAGCTATGGGATTCAGCCCCAAGCATAGATCTTTACCCACCCGATGAGCCATTAATGAATCCTGCTGTTCCCAGATGGCAGGTTTTGAGTGTGAAGGTGCCGAGACGAACAACCACTGAAAGCTGCTATCTTGCAGCACCAGGGAGTTCTAGACAGCATTTTGTCCTTCACAGTGTGAAGTGTCCTTCTAGTGTTCACCTTTACAACCCCTGACCAGCAATCAGTGTCACTGGAGCAGGTGTTTTTGTAGTTGGTTTATTGGTGCACAGGGAAAACATGTCACACGCTGAAAAAAAACACACTGGTACAGTCCTGAAAACTCAGCAAAGACACCGGGCTGAGACGGACAGCAGAAACAAACCACGAGAACCCTTCCCGAGTCTGTATTGGCTTGGATGATGCTGAACTCCAGACTGCACCGCTCTAGTGTTAAGATACACCTATCATTTTGTCAGCATCGCCAGCACAACCAGTGCAGGGGTGTGATTCCTGAATCAAGACAAAACTGGCAGGAAGACCTTTATCTTATAAACTAACCTTATATTAATTTGATCCTTTCCAACAAGTCTGTGTTAGTGTAGGCAGTTACTGTAGAGTTTAATCTACTAGATACATTTCACATTCACATTCCAGTAGTTGATGTGTTCATTTCAAAGTGAATGCATTTTCAACAAAACTACAAATAACTACCATTTACTTTACATTACTAAAAACAGACACAATAACACAATGCACATGTACACAAAATGGTCAGGTTGAGACTAAAAGTGTTGCTTCCTCAGGAACTTCTTTTTGTATCCTGGTAACTTTGCAGAAACAATAAACCTTGAAAAAGTGTCTCAGATTCCAGAAAGCTACAGTTCCTTTCCACACTCCCCAGTCCTGGTCAGCGGTGTCAGTGGCCGTAGTTGAGGACAAGAAGGCCTCTCTAGTTCTCCAGAACAAGCTCGGGCTCTTCCCCCAACACTCAGCCAGCAGGCCCGGGAGGGTCTTGGAAAACACTGGAATTCGACAAACCCAAAAGAAAAACTGTACGTTCTGGAGTTGAGGTGTCTCCATGCAGAAGGATCCAGCAGTTTTGGGGGGGAGCGGACTGTGGTCTGTCCTCAGCCGAAAGCCTGAAGAACAATGGCAACCACTTTGTTGCATACCACGAGCCAGCATGTGATCCCCACGCCACCTGTGAGAGAGAGAGAGACGAGCTGCTGAAGCAGGTGCACCTGTCGCACAACCCGAGTAAAACACAATGAGAAGAGACGCAGGCCAGAGGCACCAGGCAGTCTGGTCATCAGCCAATATCACATACCTACCAT